ATCAGGTACCTGATTATCCAGCCATTATTAGTCTCAAAGTGGGTTCCTCGTCATCGAATTTAAACGATAGTTTGTGTGTGTGTTTTCTTATAGCAAAGCCACATCGCGCCATTTGCTGTGTCCACCGAGGGGGAATCGAACCCCTGATTTTAGCGTTGTAAATACGAAGACTTACTGCTGTCCCACCGGAGGACTAAACGATAGTAATGATCATTACTAAATTATTTATCATAATCTTGCTAAACGTTTGTTATGTTAATGCGATGTACAAAATAATTTTTTTTTGTTTATTAAATGAATGTATGGGAGGTGGAAAATAACGAAGGTACAAGATGAAGAGATTTTAAAGAAAACAAAACTATATAGATAGAAATGCTATGCTGTTAGGGATTGGTTCATTGGACCAGTTTTTATGAAGTTTTGTCTTCAAGTTCTCATTATTTTCAACTATAGTATTAATGGTATTTGTTTGTTGCATTATCCCATTTGTTAATTTGTTTTAAACAAATTAGTTAAAGAAAAGTACAAACACGCTACCTTTTAAACAACATGAAAAGAAACACATTTATAGATTAGAATGTTTATGCTAAATTCAGACTCGTCTGGGGAACAGATCACACATTTGGAAAGAGTACTGCGTCAGCGAAGAACTCAAATTCTGTTAAGTAAAATATAAAAAGCAATATGCTATTTCATGTTGTTCAATACTTTAAAACATATTTTGAATCAATTTTATACTTATTCAATAATGAATTTATCTCTACAGAATTCCAACTAACTTACGATCCCTTGTCTATCGCTATGGGATGTCTGAAGTTGGAAGGGAGAAGGAATGGAATTTCATGTGGAACAGATACCTAGTGGAACAGTCAGCTCAGGAAAGAACCAAACTTTTGTATGGGCTAGCACATGTGAGGGAACCCTCTTTGATTCAAAGGTAACGTAATAATAAAAAGAAAATACAAGATTTTCTGATTATAGTTGACCACAAAGTAAAAGTAACAGTTATAGCATACTGCTGTAGTATTGGAATAGGTCATTGCAAATTAAAACAATAATTATATTTTATATCTTGTTTCAAAATGACCATTAAAGGTAAAAAAAACAGACCCACCCATCATGCTTTTTCAACTTTCTTTAACTTTGCTTTTCAGTCTGTGTTATATTATTTAAAGTTTGAAACTATGATGGACTTTATTGATTTTAGAGTTAGGTGTATAAATCCACAAGTAATTAAAAACTATTCACCACAACTATTTCCCAAAAAATACAACTTTTGTCTTTCATCTCTCTCTGTAGATATGATAGATGTTTTTCTCAATAAGCTTTAATTTCGCAGGTAATTTATCCAAGGATGCAATGTATCTAAGATCTCTGTTATTCCAGTAGATCATGTAATGCTTATATAGGTATTGGTAAAACATTCTGATAACTTGCTCATATTTTTACCAATCACCTACTTCCAGGGTAATCCTGTGGTGAATAAGGAGTTTGTGATGACGAGTCAAACAATAGTGCTACTCAAATTCTTAAATATACAAGCAATTGACGCATCATCCATATAGATCTCAATATTCTCTAACTAGATAACACCAACCAAGTTCCTGAATGTACCAGTTCATGATGTGGCATAAATCTAAGACCTAAAAAGTTTAGTAGAGAATACCAAATGAGTTGTTGGATGAACCAAGTAGATGGTGTATTGTCAAATATCCATTCAATAGAAGATACTGAGTTGTTCAATATACCATTTAATGGTATGTTATCAATTCAAGTCAATAAAAGTTCAATGGAGAACACCCACAGAGTTGTTACATAAACCACTTAAGAGATGTGTGTTCAGTTGAAGACCTGAAATATTCATTCAGTAGAGAATACCAAACTATTTGTTGGACAAACAAGGTGATGGTGTGTCTTCAACCCAAGATCTGAAAAGCTCAGTGGAGTGTTTGATGTGTCACCAATTCAAGAATTGAAATGCTTATTCAGTAAAGAATATCAACAGAGTTGTTGAATAGACCAGTTTTCGTTGTGTTGTCAATTCAGGACCTGAAATATTCATTCAGTAGAGAATGCTAACTGATTTTTTGGATAAATCAATTGTTGATGTAATACTAATCCAGGACATGATGCAGTGGATCACTAAAGAACGTCAACCAAACTGTTTTTATAACTGTGGATGTTTTGTCATCATTTAGAGAACTTAAATAGTGGTTTGATTCTTCAAGATCTTCGTCGGCAAATCAGTATATCAATGTCATAGGTAAATCGGTATTCTACTGTGAGGCTGTACAGAATAACAGGCCTAAGGATTTCTATTATCTTTTGCATTATTGTGCATACATTACATTTTTAAAAGTTAATCCAAAGTGTACAAGTTAAAAAGTTAATCAAAGTGTACAAGTAAGATATTTGTTGTAGTTTTCATCTGTTTTTTAACCTAAAATATATTAATGAAACTCATGATCAATACCATAATATTATAATAGTTCGAAATACGCTAAAACGGGTAGCAAAGGTTTAATGCTCAAAACACAACTTGATGAAAACAAACTGGTTTCTCGTCCTTTATATTTTTCTCTCTGTTCTTTTACAGATATCTGACTTACGCTATGGACGAATCCATGATTCGTCGTCAGGATTTCTTTACAGTATTGGGGTATATTGCTGGAAACCCAGTGGGCAGATCAAAAGTCTGGAGTTTCATACGTTTCAATTGGTCAAAACTAGTGGAAAGGTAAGGATAAATCGTCTAAATTAAGAAGAAAAAAAAACAATTCATAAGAAAAAAACCATATACTTCCAAATTCAATCGAATACTATTTTAATTAATTTAAGTAACAACAAATAGGTTGTTATTGTACACCATTCAAAAAGGGTCTATAAAAGATGTGAAAAAAACAAGTAATTAACAAACTTAAAGATATTTTCTTGTTTAATAAGCACTGTTGTTTTCAGAAACTAGTTTAATTAAAGCTAAATACAAAAGTACCTGATGATGACAAAACCTTGTCGAAACATTGTACATTTGCTGTTATGTTAAACTTATATTAAAATTTTTCGTCATTACCCATTCAAGCCGTCTCCAAGCAGTATTAGTCTGAAAGTGGGTTCCTCGTCATCGAATTCGAAATCGAATTTAAATACAAAAGTATTCGTGATACAAAATATTTAAATTAAGTCACAATTATTTCTAAAACTTTCATCGCTTTGCGTTAACTGTATCATGCTGATGTAAGACGTGGCAGTTTTTAAAATGTGCAATAAATTTTAAATGCACGTGTTTCCTCCCATTCCTACACATGTGGAATATGCCTACGTCAGTTGTTTAGCTCTTAATAATTTATTCAGATAATAGTCCTTATTATCCTGTTGATTATTTTGGTTATTTAAAAGAACATCGAACTTGTGAATAGAGAAATATGTGAATTGGTAAGCAGAAAATGTATTTTGTGTGACAAAAGGGAATAGCAGTGTTATCATTTCCAACAAAGATATTTAGATACAACAACTTTATTCAAAAGACAAAAGATCCAAAATACAAAAATAGTTTATCTATTTAAACAACATTATGTTAAGTTGATAAGACTGACACGCTATGTTTCCTGCTCTGTGTTCAGGTTCACTTTGAACAACAGATATTTAGGAAGAGTGGTGAAGAAGATCTGTGACTACTTTACAACGGAGTTCGAATTACATGAAGTAAGTTAAACATTATAAAATTATTGGTCACTCCCACTAGGTGGTGTTTGTTTTTCTGAACAAAACCACATTGGGCTATCTGCTGTGTCCACTGCGAGGAATCGAACCATTAATTTTAAAGTTGTAATTCCAAAAACTTACCACTGACTCACCGGGGTACACTAAGTGGTGTAAAATTACCTTAACAGTTAAATAATAATCCACTCTGATATAATGTAATAAGGAAATTAGTAAAAAATACGTACTGGCTACCTTGAACAGTGTCCCCCGGTGGTAGAGCGCTAAGTCTTCGGATTTATAAAGCTAAAATCAGGGGTTCGATTCCCCTTGGTGGACACAGCAGATAGCCCGACGTGGCTTTGCTATAAGAAAACACACACCTTGAACAGCCTAAATACTTAAAGAATAGATAATATGTTTACTAGAAGATTGGCTCTATAGACTTCATAATTATAAGTTCTAAGTTTTCAGTATAAATTAGTTCGTGTAATATTAAAAAATCTGATTATTATATTTTCCATGATTTTCAGATGAAGCTCTTTTTTGATATGTATCCTGAAGCTGGAGCTGGAACAAGAGCCAGAAAGCAGGCATTAGAAAATGTACAGAATAACATAAAATGGTTGAAAAATCACCAAAAAGCGGTTCACGATTTTCTTGAAGGAAAATTATTCAAGAAAGCATGGGAAAACCTCCGCCTTCCTCAATATATTCGTCCCTTGAATTATGACTTAACTCTTCATCCGAACTTAACAACTGACACTTTTACCGGCAGAGTAACCATTGCCGTTGAAGTCTTGGAGCCTACAAGAGTCTTTCTAGTGCACGTTAATAATCTTAACATACTTTCAACAACAGTGAAAAAAGCGGACAAAAGTGTTGTATTGATTCGGGAACCATTCTATTACAAACCGAACCAGTTTTGGGTTATCCAGACTAACGAAGAGCTCCACGGAAACCAAAAGTATTTTCTTGAATTCGAATTTCATGGTTCGCTTGTTGGTAGTCTTGTTGGTTTTTACAAAAGTGTTTACACAGACAGTGAAACAAATCAAACAAGGTGAGTATAAGAAACTAAAGTCAAACATTGCTTTAGTTGTGGTTATGCATCGTCTCTAAATTAAATGATCAAAAGAGGTTTGCCCAAGAATGTTTGCTAATACATGACTTGCAGATATAGAAATCCTGCGAGAGATGCTCTTCAAAATAACCACTGTCGAAAATATTATTAACTGCAAGGCTACCCAATGATGATGCAATACATTCTAATCATTTCAAAGTTTTTGGCTAGTCTATTAATATATAACATGTTTCTAGTCTATTTGTGATATATATATAGACATGTATGTGTGTGTCTTCATTATTTCAAAAGATATTTTTTTAATTATTTTAGTTTTGTCTTACATGATTAGCTCGTAATAATTACTATGATTTTTCTTTACTTTCTAATAAATTTCTTATGACATAATTGTGATTAAGATGTGAAAAATAAATTTATTGAAACCACTAAAGAAAATGAGGGATATTTCTTCATTGGTTTTCCTTTTATGAATTCTCTTTGTCGCTGTCATTTGGTGTGAGTTTACAGAATTATTGTAAAGCTTGCTTGAATCTTAGTTGAACTACTATAATGAGTGTTACGAAGATATTTGAATTATTGTAATGCTTGCTTGAATCTTAGTTGAACTACTATGATAAGTGTTATGAAGATATTTGAATTATTGTAATGCTTGCTTGCATCTTAGTTGAACTACTATAATGAGTGTTACGAAGATATTTGAATTATTGTAAAGCTTGCTTGCATCTTAGTTGAACTACTATAATGAGTGTTATGAAGATATTTGAATTATTGTAATGCTTGCTTGCATCTTACTTGAACTACTATAATGAGTGTTATGAAGATATTTGAATTATTGTAAAGCTTGTTTGCATCTTAGTTGAACTAATATAATGAGTGTTATGAAGATATTTGAATTATTGTAAAGCTTGCTTGAATCTTAGTTGACCTACTATGATAAGTGTTATGAAGATATTTGTTCGGATCTAAGCCTAGTAAGTTTAACAGTATGTATCAAAATTGAATCTAATCTAGTGTTAATTGTGAATTATAACATCACCTGAGCATTACACCTATGAAATGAGTTGAAAACATAGTTTAATATAGAGATCTTTTTTTTTTGAAAATGTAAAAATTTACTTTTCGTTTTTTTTTTTCAGGTATATTGCTACATCACAATTCCAGTCAACGTATGCTAGGCGAGCATTTCCCTGCTTTGATGAGCCTGGATTCAAAACAGAATTTAGTGTTACGTTGGTTCATGAGCCAACTTTCTTAGCCTTGTCGAATATGCCAGCTAAGGTATAAGAAAAAAGCAAGTCTATTCCTTTAAGTGAGAAAACATGAGAAGATTCACTTGATTCTAATAAAATAACAGATATATCTTTCTGTGTATGTATATATATATAAAATTGTTTTGCTGTACAACAGGATACAAGGATACCTATTTGACGTAACTAAAATAGGTATCGTTTGAAAGATAAATTTTCAAATTTCAAAATTAATTTCAATTTAATTTTAGTATCGGTTTTTAACTCTCCAGTTATAGGACAAACCCACCTATCTAGAGAACTGGGTGGTTGTAATTTTCTATTTTAAGTAGTTGTAAAATTATTATTATTTTATTTCAAGCAAGGAAGCAGCAAATTTAACAGGTATAATTCGAAAGTAGATTCGATAGGACAATACATAAGTTCTGTTATAAGTCCTTTGATTTTGGACATGAAAAGAAAATTATTTCAGTCTTAATAAATGAAAAATATTGAGCAATCATCTCTTTTATACTGATGGAAAATAAACAAATTATTCTTTGAGTATTCTTAATGATTTTTGTTTGATTTTCTCTGAATAGCCTTTTGTATTGCTGTTTGTTTTCCTTGATTACTAATAATGTATTCTTGTTTGGTTTTTTTCTTATTCATAATGTATCATTGTTTCCCTTTAGGAAACGTTTGACATTTCAAATGGTCTTCAAGCAACTACCTTTGAGAAATCTAAGAAAATGGTGACTTATCTTTTGTGTGTCGTTGTTTGTGACTATAAATATAAAGAGGCAACAACAGAAGGAGGTATAAAGGTGAGTAAGCAACAATAACAATACCATGTTTCTTCCACTTGTTTAAGAAATGATAATGACAAGGTTTATTCCATTTTATCAACAGTGTAGCTTTGGGTTTATAGTTATGTATTATACTCCTGTGTAAGTGTATTATTTTAGAAGAATGTTGTTACAACAGATAAGTGTTCAAAAACAATATTTATTCCACTTTCCACACCATGTATTGGAGTGTGTATTCAAAAACTAAAAACAATACTTATTCCACTTTCCACATAATGTATTGGAGTGTGTGATCAAAAATTAATAACAATACTTATTCCACTTTTCACACCATGAATTGGAGTGTGTGATCAAAAACTAATAACAATACTTATTCCACTTTCCACATAATGTATTGGAGTGTGTGATCAAAAATTAATAACAATACATATTCCACTTTCCACACTGTATATTGGAGTGTTTATTCAAAAACTAAAAACAATATTTATTCCAATTTCCACACTGTGTATTGGAGTGTGTGATCAAAAACTAATAACAATACTTATTCCACTTTCCACACTGTGTATTGGAGTGTTTATTCAAAAACTAAAAACAATATTTATTCCAATTTCCACACTGTGTATTGGAGTGTGTGATCAAAAACTAATAACAATACTTATTCCACTTTCCACATAATGTATTGGAGTGTTTATTCAAAAACTAAAAACAATACTTATTCCACTTTCCACACTGTGTATTGGAGTGTTTATTCGAAAACTAAAAACAATATTTATTCCAATTTCCACACTGTGTATTGGAGTGTGTGATCAAAAACTAATAACAATACTTATTCCACTTTCCACACCCTATATAGGAGTGTGTGTATTCTGTGTCATCATCTGTTGAATAATAGGGAAGTATTTTATGCTATTTCAGACAAAAAACTTGCATCACCGTTCCTAAAATTCGTGCTTAACAATATTGTGTGATTGAACTCAACCTTATGATTTTACACATTGTATTTGGAAATATTTCTTCAATGTTCGTTATTTATGAACTGTAATTCAGAATTAACCAAATTAAGAGTCTACAATTTATTAACTATACCTTATGACAGAATTCAAAGAATTAATAATCATTGCATTTAATAATAAGGCTGGTTGAATTTAGCATTATTAGCAGTTCTCATTTGTACTTTTTCAAAGGAGTGTATCAATAAAAGCTCACTTGAAATATCTAAACCAATTTTTTATAGAAACCTGAATAATCTTTCTTCATGTTCTATTTTGTTAAATTTGTCAGAAAGGGCCATAAAAATCTGGTTTATTTCAGATAAGGGTTCTCGCACCACCAGACAAATACAACAAAACGGACTACTCCTTAAAAGCTGGAGCAAAGATACTGACGTTTTTCGAAAAATACTACAACATAAGTTATCCATTGCCAAAACTCGGTAAGTTTTTAGTTCTGCCGTTTCATTTTTTTCCTACTTATATTTGACACGTTTTTTTTTTAATTTTCCGAGAAAAATAAACTGCACAGCTTAAACATTCCATTAAATACATTTTTGCACAATTTTGGGTTTTATGAGAAATTTTTGATATTTTCCATTCGTTTTGGTACTGAGATACAACAACGAAATAAATAAACAAGTGAAAAATTGTCTTCTACCTCTGTTCCTTTAGTGAATATAATCAGAAGTTCGTGAAATTAATGATTGTAGTGTTTAATAAATTGTGACTGTGTTTAAACTGGTCTGTCATTGGGCAGGTGCGCTATCTTACATCGCATGCTTTGTTTGTTTTAGAGCAAAGTCACATTGGGCTATCTGCTGTGTCCACCACGGGGAATCGAACGCCGTTTTTATTGTTTTACGTCCATAAACATACCTCTGCCCTACTGGGGGACATCTTACACCCCATCTAAAGAAGTATTTGGGGCTAATTTATATGTACATAATACTATAGAAAATAAAAGTATCAAATGTATTTTTAGCATTATTATGTTCGTTTATTTGAATGTTATTTATGGGCTATCTGCGCTCTGTTCACAGCGAGAAATCGAAATCTGGATCTTGCGTTATAAATCCGTAAACTTACTATAGACACATCGGGGGACTCTAATTGGAAAACTCTGTGCATACTGTTGTTAAATGGGTTGTTTATGAAAACATATAGACAGCAAGTATTCTTTACGTGGCTAGCAATAGAAACCTGTACGCACCAGGTAACTTCAGCTACAGACTGAATCGTGAAGACTCGTTGATTAAAAACTGAAAGAGGATTTCTCAATCTGGAATAAAGAAGACTGGGAAGCTTTAAAGCAGCCGTACTTACCAGGAATCTGTTTGATATAAGCAAATAGTGTGTTCGAATATTATAGAAAATGTATTTTGTGTCTTTATAGATAACAAACAATTCATGCCCAACTTTTGTTACAGAACTTCTTTTGCTTCTCTGACTACAAATTACAGAAAATAGTTTCATTTTCGATTTCCTCCTAGTTCTCAGAGGTAAATTAATGAAAGTTTGTATAAAATAGAAAATATTGTCACACATTATTGATACCACGAAAGCTCTATTTACCCAAGACCGTGAAACCCAAATACATCTTGCGGATTTCTTCCAGAAACTTCACTCGCACGATTCTCTTAAGTGACATTTTATCACAGAGTTTTGGACCACGAGAAGTTATTGTTCTTGTAACTGGATTATATTTATTGTTCTAGATATGATAGCTATTCCCGATTTCCGAGCTGGAGCCATGGAGAACTGGGGTTTAATAACGTACCGAGAAGGCTACCTGCTGTACGATGAGCGTGAGTCGTCTTCCTACGACAAACTTAGAATTGTTGTCACTGTTGCTCACGAGCTGGCTCACATGGTAATATATTGGATTCTGCTTATCAACCATCATTTTACGTAGTACACGTGAAAACTAACTCTACTCAATTAAACTTGACAATAAGAAATATTCATAGAGATACCTAGGACTAAAACAGATTGCAAAGTAATTAGCTTCAAAAATGAGAAATGATATTACTAACAAAAATAGATTTACGCCGATATCTCATTAATAATAATATATACTTACACCAGGATATACCATTAATAATAATAATATATACTTACACAGGATATTTCATTAATAATAATATATACTTACACTAGGACATCTCATTAATAATAATAATATATACTTACACCAGGATATCTCATTAATAATAATATATACTTACACCAGGATATATCATTAATAATAATATATACTCACACAGGATATTTCATTAATAATAATATATACTCACACAGGATATTTCATTAATAATAATATATACTCACACCAGGATATCTCATTAATAATAAATACAGATTTGCTCCATACTATCTCTTACATAATAAAATGGGAATATACAACCTCAATAAAACACCGTTGTTCCAAAACGATAGGAATTATAAACGCATCGCTAACAAGTAGATAGAAAAAAAAAGTGAATTTCAAGCATATTTTCTATGTATTAGTATGAAGCTTCTGGTTTCAGTGGTTCGGTAATTTGGTGACTATGAAATGGTGGACAGACTTGTGGCTAAATGAAGGATTTGCGTCGTACGTTCAATTTAAAGGAATGGAAGTAGTTGAACCATCGTGGGATGTTGTAAGTTTATAAAAAATTCACTATTTTTCTTCAGTCAGTTTCTAAAGTACACGTTTCCGTAAAATGTGTTTTCATCTTTTATTTAAAGCTGACAAGAACTGAGTTTTAAATATAGTAATTAATACAAAGGAATATTTCATCATAAATTAATAAATGTGTAAAAATTTTATTGTCGGTTTTAAGTAGCTTTATTCTAAGGATATGTTGTGTTTATTAGTTTTTAAGATGTAAAAAAGCTATTTGTTTGTATTAGTTTTTTAATGTAGTCCTATGGCATTTTTTTGTTTTAGATATCCAAGTACATTTTAATGTTTGTTGGTTCTCTCAGACGTACTCCAAAGAAATTTGGTGTTTACTAATTTCATATATGTTTCAAGAACGTTTCATGCTTATTATACTTTCACATATCTAAGAAATTTTGCGTTTATTCGGTTTTTAGTTATGTTCTAAGGACATTTCGTGTTTATTAGTTGTTGTTTTATATATATATATTGTAAGTGCATTTAATGTGTATCAGTATTTTGGATATACTCCAAGATCATTTGAGGTATATGTTGGTGAGTTATTTATATTTTTAGTCAGATTTTGATGTTTGATTTTTAAATTTACTCCAAAGGGACTTGGTGTTAGTTACTTTTTAGATATATTCTACAGACATTTTGTATATATTAATGTTTCTTTGTAAGATTCCCCCATCGGTGTTTGTTTATTAATTTGGTTTATACATACTATAAAGTCACTTTTTATAGCTGAAAAAAGTTTCTATTTTTTACAACAAAATTATGCTTACTCATTTTCGGCATGTTCCATAATCAGAATGTTTCTGCTTTATTTGAAACAAAAATGGTGTGACATCATGCCTTTAGAGGTGTGAAGTCACACCATTTTTCGAGGTGTGTGTTCATTCATACCAGCTATTCCCATTTGTTGTATTGTTGTTTCCACTTGCATCAATAGGGTTGTGAATTCTCATCCATTTATATACACATGATGTTAATGTTGATTGGTTGGTTGGGGTTTATTGGCGCAAAACAACTAGGCTATCTGCGCCAAACAACCGGTAAAAATGTAAAAAAGAAGGAAAATTAGAAAAAAAAATGTAAAAAGAAAACAAACTAAAAATGTAAACAATGCTCATAAAGCAGTTAAAAAATTGAATAGAATAAAAAAGGCGAATTGCCCGCAAAAAACCTTATAAACATGGTCAAGTTCGACAGTGTCACCATCGCCAATGACACCGTCCAACGTAAGGGGGTAAACCATTAGAAAATACATGTCTAAAATGGTGCCGACGGCACGAAAGTAAAACGTGGGCAAGTGTCACCTGAGTGTCACAAAGGATCACATATTGGCGGATCAATCCCACATATGAAACGATGAGTTAATATAAAAATCTAGCGTAGCCTAACCAAAACAACTTAATTCTGTCGATTCTTACAGTAACATACAACAACCGTAGGTTTGAATCTGGAAAAGCCTGTTACGAAGTTGCTCACCCCAAATCGACTGCCAACTGGTACGAAGCCGTGGGTGTTAATGTGCGCAAGTTCAAGATGCTTATTTTTTATATCTGTCAAATTATCCCGGTCTCAGACTATTCGAGTTATTAGTTCCGAATATTTAATTTATAAAATTAGCGCGAAAAACGTATTACCAGACACTTTCAACATATGCACTTATTCAATTGCTTCTAAATAGAATGCAGTTTATCGGCCAAGCCTTCTTTTCCAGCTAGCAACACACTGAAATTGCGATATTTGAAAATGTTATTGCTTCAGTTTAAACCATCAACCTCAGATGTCAATATTGTAGAAATTATGGGAAAACAGAATTCTTGTTTAATGTTTAAATGTTTATTTTTGTCTCTCGCTTTTAAATAGTAATATGTGAAACTTTTTTCAGTTATTATAATGAGTTCTACGAACTAAAATAAATTTTCCCTAGAAATTGCAATTGCAAATATTCTATTAGAAACCAGAAGGATTTTTTTTTCTCAAAAACTGTTAACACGTATTGTTTACCGTCACACAGATGGATCAGTTCTTAGATGAAGTTTTGACGAGAGTAGTGGAAAGTGACGGAACCATCACATCTCATCCTATTGTTCAGCCCGTTGACCATCCAGATGAAATTAGCGAGCTTTTTGATGCAATTTCCTATTATAAGGTGAAATCGTTACATCAGTTCTCTAGTTTTTGTATGTAGGAAATCATGTGTGTTCAGTTAAAGAGTTTGAAATACGATTCCACCATATTGTTGAATTTGAAAGAGGTGCATATTCGCGTAGTTCATAAAACGCTATCTCTATTAGTTTGTTGAAATATAATTTTACCAAAAAAGAAAAAGTGTAGTTAGAACACAAGATCGGTATTGGTGTTTTTCTGTTAGTAAAAAGTATTTATTTATTTATTTTGTGTAACCTTACTGTTCCTATCTACAGGGATCTTCAGTTCTTCGAATGCTAGAATTTCTGATGGGTGAAGAAGACTTCAGGATTGGGGTTTCGGTAAGTGCATTAAAACTAACGAAAAACAAGTTTATGCCAAGTTTCATTTTTTCTTTTATCAGTAGCTGACACTAAAAAGCCTATTAAATATATAAAATTTCAAATCTTTTACGTACGATCGAACAAGAAACATGTCCATCAGAGAATTAAGCAATAACCTACTAAAGTACCAATAAGCTCGTCGGTAATGTAAAATTTGCCAATTATGTAGCGATCAGACATTATTTATCCTACCAAGTGAAGTCATCAACTTTGAGGTCATATCATTATTATATTTAATATAGTCAATTACGTGGTCTACTAAAACTAGCTAATTTGAAGTTACCTGATGTACATTTATTGATAAAGCCAAATGTTTTTAGTTCACATGGTTTATCATACCTCGTAAAACCATATATTAATTTATCACGTTGTGTATGGTGCCTCATAAAACAAACTATTTCAAGATCACGTGGTTTAAGATAATTTGCTTGTTAAATTCAGTTATATGGTAAAACGTGTTTTATCATGCCCAATATTTTTTTAGATCAGGTGGCATACCTTGTTCGGTAAATAAGAATAGTTGTAAATCATATGATTGATCATATTTTATTAAAATCAATTATTTGGAGACAATTTATTTGAGATAGTGAGATAATGAAAACAGCACCAATATCTATTGCAGGTTTATAACTTTTATTTGAAAATATTATATGATATATATATAACACATCATACTGATTTAACATTGGACTTTTGAACATAACTAAATTATACTGGTATATTACTTAGATAGGCAGACATTTGAAAAAAAATGTATACATTGCAGTAGGCATTTATGTCTAGTTAGAGTATTGACTTGTAAATCCCGAGGGTCTCAAACTTTATTTTGAAGTGTATATATACATTTATTACATCGGTTGTCCAATAGGAGAAATTTTGCTATTCTGACTGAGCAAATATACTTAGTAGAATATACCTGTACTTTTGTATATTACGATACTTTAGCTTCATGGCTTATAATTAAAATTCGTGGTAATATTTTATTATTTTAATATTTCATTTCAGACCTATCTAAAGAAGTATGCTTATAGTAATGCGGAAACGGAGGATCTCTGGAGGGAACTCACCACGATTTCTTCAAAGGTTAGTTTCATAAAAAGCACGTTTGAAAGTTCTGAAACAACAGGCATAAGCTGGTTTTGTGAAGAGAACTATTAGGAAATTACATTAATGCTATTTTATGATAATGATAAAAAAGGCCAAACATGTGTTGGGTATGTTATACTTCAGTCAATATTGTGTGACAATGTAATAAGATTTTGTTTTTTTACTCTTGGATTAGCGATTAGTTTTTATACCTTTTCAGTACCAGTAGAGTCAGGGGTCCACATATCCCCCCTTATATTTATTCATTTTTCCTGTTAGAACACTCAGTTTAAATGTAAAATACTTTGAAAATTGCAGAATTAATGAAACGACCTTTAATATCAATGGTGTTCTTTTGTTTACATTTTTGTGTGACTTTTTATTTTATTAAATACTCTGTAATAAAAGAAAGAGTCTAAGACTCACAAGCATTTTGGTGCATAAAGAGTGTAGAAAAATGTATTTAGAGAGTCGATGGGGTCCTATATAGAACTTTTTGGTAATTCTGCGGTAATGTAAGTAATAATATAACTTCACCTTCTTTAAAAAGAGTCGGTACACATGTAAAATCTTTGTTTCGATATCATCATATTTTACTCTGGGTCATAGTAGCACTAATTTTTTAATTCTGATGAAATTCAGTCATATTTGATCATCACCAAAGCTTAATGTTAACCATGATGATATATTATAGAATAACATGAGAAAAAAGTAAGCTAGAATTTTATTTTAAAACAACAAATCATATAACATCCATTTACTAATTGTGAACCTATTTATCTTTGGTACATTGTTCAAGTGTCCTTAATTTACCGTTTTTTTTGTGATAAAAGTGTACTCTTAGGTCGAGAAAATAGAAGCAGACTTTTGTTTCACACTTCTTGAACGAAATGATTGTACCTTGTGATACTGTCTAATACATTCTGCCCGTATAGTGTGTTTTCTGATGCTGTCCATTATATATATTGCCCTGATAGTGTACTTCTCGATGCTGCTCATTATATCCTGCTCTGGCACTGTCTACAAAATCATGTTTTGACAGTTAACTTCCTGGTGCTGAAGATAACTCACGCCTTGACAGTTAAATACGTGGTGCTGAAGATAAATAACGTAATGACTGAGGAAGATAGGAGCAAAATCTAACAGTCGATTCTTTATATTTTCTTGTATGGTTTCAAGATGTTCTATATTATTTTTTTATGGAAAAACTTATAGAAATTTAAGATTTCCTTAGAACATTAGCTCAATTGTTTCGAATCGTGATGCCTTCATTTCAGAAGACTCCTCTGATGATTGGTATCTTCTATTTTAGAAGCCTTTTCTTTGTTTGGCCCATTCTTTTTCAGAAGATTCGTCTTGAAGAGATCTTTTAGTTTTTTTTTAGATGCATATTGTTGAGATTAACTCTTTTTTTCAGAAGCTTCATCTTGAAGTGATCCTTGTATTTCCGAAGTCCATTTTTGAGTCGGTTCCTTCTTTTGAAAAGTTTCTTCTGTGCATGGTCTTTTTCTTCATAAATCCCTCTCTCTCTGAGTCGTCCTTTGTTTTTCAGAAGCTATTTTCTTGTAATAGTCCCTTCTTTAATAAACCTCTTTTTGCAAAGTGTCTTGTTTTCAGGGAAGAGGAAAGAGAGGTCACAAAACGAAAAGATCTTAAATAAGAACTCTCTAAAGCAGAGAGAAAGAGAATGATTAGTAAAATTTTATTCCAAAGAAAAAAGAATCACCAAAGAAACTCCTAACAAAAAATAAGGTACCAAATAGAGCTAATGAAGAAGACACTACTAAAGGAAAAGTTTATAAAGAAAATTTTTAATGAAAAAGAATGAGCTTCTAGAAACACAATCATCAATAAAAAATATCGAGGAAAATCATCCAAAAAAAGAAACTATTAAGCAAAGAGGCTAACAAATTCAAAATTGGTAAAAGAAAAAGCTTTCGAAGACGAAGAAGTTATCAAAAAGCTAAATTATTGAAAGGAAGAGGTGAAATTTTTATTTGACTAATAATAATTCTATTTTATTCTACTGGGATTATAAATAACTCATGAATTACGTGAAATTTTCCTACAAAACAACATTTCCTTTTTAGAGTTGTGTAGAATATAATTTTAGTTGAGATTATATTGTTTCAATACATAAAGTAATTAGTTCAATTTAGCTTAATATCTGAAACACAAACGCATTCTGTGTGTGTGTGTGTGTTCATTTGGCAGAAACTAAATATCTCGAGGATAATGAACACGTGGACCAGGCAAATGGGGTATCCATACATAAACGTCACTCGAGATACGACCGATCCACATATTTTTGTCGTTCAACAACAAAGGTTTCTAACAGATCCAGACAGTGTTGAAGATGACATCAGTGTTTACAATAATAGGTAAGTGTCTCAGACTTTTTTGGAAAAAAAAATGTAGACAAGATTTAGTATTTTAGGTAGCCTAATAATTTACTTTAACATAATCGCAACTGTAAATTAACAAAGGACTGATAAATCACGAATTATACAAAATTACTGAGCGAAATAATTAAATGTTTTTGTTCCTTTATAAATAGTGAGTGAACAAAGACTTTTAAACTTTATACCTTGGAAATATTGCTCTGATCAGATTTGATCTGCAAGATCTGGGTGATTTGTGTAAAATTGCTTAGAGCAGAAATTTCGTGGTGGAATGGAGAGGTAAAGTAAGAATGATAAATTGATCAAATGCGGACGATAAATTAAAAGGACTATGCTAATTGAAAAAAAAAACTGAAAAGAAGAAATTGTACACAGTTTTAAAATACAATTCTGAAAATAATCACTTTACAGCCAAAAGCAATATTCAGCGATATTTATTTTAAAGTTAAAACCTACAAGCAGTTACTAAATTATAAAATATAATAATTAATGAGAAAAATAACGTTTGTCAATTACAAAAAAGAATATCACAAAAAATAAGATGTTTAAAATTTATAAAAGGAAGATGAACTCGTTACTAATATTTTGGAACGAAAAACAAATAATTATTGCAACTTATATCAGTCATGAGGGTAAACAACCCTTAAAAAACTGTTGTAAGTTTGAGTAGAATTCAGGTAACGTAGTGAACATTGCAGTGCTAACATGTTTAATGAAGATAAATAGCCAGTATCTAGTGTAAATTTTTTATTTAATCAAAGTTTCACAGGAAGGCTTTATCAAGAGGTAAGGCCCTTTACTCAACAAAAGCCCAGTCTTAATTAACAGAATAACCGACTGGGTTTGTGTGTTCACCAGGATGTTTACTGCTTGATGAAGTCGTAGGGAAAAACATTAAGATAATAGTTTTCACTGGATACTGGCTGTTTATCGTCATTAAACATGTTGAAAAAATCTAAAATAAGGGTAATAATTGGTATCACATACCACTCATTTAGAATATCTAATAAATAAACGTTACTATTTAACTATCTAAATGATAGAAAGCATAATGCTTTGTACCTTTGATGGATCATAAATATGATTTCGTCAATCAGGCCGCACAAGCAAGTATACAAGTTTGACAGGATATGCACTTAAGGGAAAATGTTCATAGGTAATATATACACTGACGAATAGAAAGAAAGATAAATTGACAAATAGGAAAGAAAACAGAAAATGATCAGAAAAAGACTTCTTCACAAGTACGCGTTTCTGATCTTTCATTGAATTTTTTCGTAACAGCTACATGTGGGAGATACCGCTCAGTTACCGAACAAGTGGAGGTGGAGATATCCAAACCTACTGGTTAAGTTCAAGCCAACCAGGTAAAGTAAGGGTTAGAATTACGTTTCGTCCGGTTAGACGTGCAACTGTGTTAAAAACATTAATTTGTTGTGGGTAATTACACTTATTCTACTCTTATTGTTGTAAGATCTATAAGACATACTTTTCAACTTGTTTTACATACACGTTAATAATATTAGTCCATTATCGGCGATTATAACAATTCAACTTTTGTAACTATAAGACTTAGAAGTCTTGCGACAGTATCTTTGTTCCATACTGTAATTATATATATATATATATCTGTGTCAGTGTAAATTACTTGTACCTGATGAGGACAAAACCTTGTCGAAACGTTATACATTTGCTGTTATGTTAAACTTAAAGTTTTTCTTCATTACCCATTCAAGCCGTCTACAAGCATTATCAGAAATTGTAGATTTTGAATTTCCTAAACTAGCAAAACGATGGCGCTAGCTGCTCACCGTCACGAATCCTTCTATTATTATTATTACTATTTTTTGTTACGTTTGGATACCTCGTGAGATATGCATTCTTTTATGTCTTCATTTAATGTTTTTACATATGTTATAAAAACAATAACAATGCAATGGATTTTACCCATTTATTGAATATGTTTTACTTTTGTCTTTCCAGAAAAGATTGTTCTCGATCTTCTTAAGCCTGAGGACACCTGGGTGAAATTTAACGTTAATAATACAGGATACTATGTCGTTAATTATGACGCCAATGAGTGGCAAAGATTCATTCAGTTACTGGAAACCAACCATGAAGTAAGTCAACTTAACGTGACCGGTTTTGTTGAAGCAACACTGTTTAAAACTTGACCGGATTTGTTGAGGCAACATTGTTTAAAAACGCTGACCTGCATCTATTTTATCGAAACACATACTCAGAAAAAAGTTGCAGTTTTGTAACATAAACATGTTTTATAAAGGCAACTACTCCATTTAAGCAAACCTGTTGTAGTATTATCTGGTTAGGCCACATTTTTAGTTGTATTAAACTATTACTATTTGATAAAAATAGGTCATATATTTTGTTGTATTAAGCTATTGTTACATAATAAAGATAGACCATATTTGCAATGGTGTCAAACCTACGCGTTAAAGATTTGCTATATTTTTTATTTTGTATTATTACATGGTAAAGATAAGGATAATTTTCAGGTGTCTTAAACTATTATTACTTGCTAAAAAATAGGCCATATTTTTAGTTATGTCATGCTATCATTACTTAGTGAAAATAGACCTAATAAGTAGTTTTGTTACACTTTTTATTGCGTGAGCAAAGTAGGGAATATTTATTATTGTGGTACTTGATAAAAATAAGACTTGTTTGTGGTGTTGAACTCCATGAAGAAGTCATTGATGTTTAGGTACCTCTAGAACTGGTACATGTAACATGGTATGACAAATAAAAGCTATATGTATATATGCGTTTGGATCATGCATGATAGATGGAATATCCCCAATGCTTTTGGGAGCTATGACCTCAGATATTTTCCATTATGACTTAATGGTAATGACAAGGAATGGTGATGGACAATTTTTTCGTGTTTTTTTAAGTTTCATTGTGAACGTTTTGGTTTTCATTTGTATTAATTGCATTATTGTTATATAGTGCTGATTTGATCACCTATTTACAATTAACGTAATTTATAGTACTAGAACAGTATATGTATATATATTATCTCTCTGTCTGTCTCTCTCTCTCTCTCGCTATGTATATATATATACACATATAAAGCACAAAAAATGTGTGTGTCTGTTTGTTTGTCCATTATCTAGGTCGCCGGGCCAATCTCAACCAAACTTTGTGTGTTGATCGTTTGGAACAAGGGACATGTTAAGGGGTTTCACAAACCTCTCTATCCCCCATTGAGCATTAATTATCTTTGACTTATGTTAACGTTACCTACATTCATAGATGGCGCCACATTCTTACACCAAAACAAATAAACGATTGTTTGTTTGTAATTAAGCACAAAGCTACACAGTGGGCTATCTGTGCTCTGCCCACCACGGGTATCGAAACCCGGATTCTAGCGTTGTAAGTCCGCAGACATACCGCTGTGCCACTGGGGGGGCTAACAAATAAACTATTAAATTTTCTATAACACAACATGTATATATAGTGTGGTAGGAGGACATACAAACGTCTTACATATCTCAGAAAGTGTGCAACTATTGCAATAATATATAAACTCAGCTGAAGTTTCTATTCAACACCCACAATGAGGCTGATGTGAAGAGCCGTTTCTTGAGTTATACCCACTTCCTACTTTGACCTGTGACCTTTTATCTTCGGCCCATAAGACGCTTCTGCGGCCAATAACCAACAACTAATTAATCATATGAACCACTGTGGAAGGACATTTAAGAGTATAGTGTAAAAAACTGGTAACGGAAAGCACCCCTACCTCCACGACTTTGGCCGCTACCTCTTCCTACAAAGTCACCCTGGTCATAGCACACTGTATACCATGTTTTAACTATATGCATATTGAGTTCTTAAAGCTTGTACAAACCTTTTGGTAAGGTAATAATAAATACTGTACTACTATGCTATGTTATAAATAAATTGTGTAAAAGTTAGGATTTTTATTTATTATAACATTTACCCCCACGTTTTTTAAACTTCATAACCCGGACAAAGGATGGGTTCCTCAGCTTGTATATACATATTTTGTATATACATACACAAGTACAAAAACTTGGAAAATAGAATAAACGTAATCTTTGGCACATGAACATACACAATTTATAAGATATATATAGTAAGCAACACACACAGAGAAATGCTATTTGATTAATGGAAATAACCTGTGTTTAATTCTTACTTAGTTTGATCTTTTCGAATTATTTTTATTTTTTTTACTTTAAGGAAATTGGGCCATCTGATCGAGCAAATCTTATCAATGATGCTTTCCTATTGGCTCGAGCGGGTTACCTTAGCTATGAAACAGCACTTGATTTGTCTTTATATCTGAAAAATGAGCGCCACCTTGTGCCATGGAGTATTGCACAAACAGCACTTACCTACATTACAAATATACTGGAAGATACGGAAGTTTCCAAAGCCTTAAAGGTGAGTCAATGAACCCAGTATCTGGTGTATTATAAACTTGTTCAAATAGTTTAAGATTTATTAGACTGAAAGAGTCTAGACATTATAATGTGGTTTGAAGTGGAGTTTGACCGTAAGGAAATTCATATCCATTGTCGCCAGCAGTATTAATGCGAGTCACGTCTGATACTTGTGTATTTGTGCGTGGATTAAGAGAACTTTACGAGTCACGTTTGATACTTGTGTATATGTGGGTGTGGTTTAATAGAACTTTATCAAATATTATTTAAGATATTTCGCTTAATTAATAGATTCATTGTCCTGCTGGTACCAACCTCTCTCTTTTTAGTAATGGCCTGGCGTTAGGGCGCTCGAATAGCAATCTGAGAGTCATGGGATCAAAACCCGTCGCCATTTAGTCGTGGAGGCGTTATTTGTGAAGGCCAATCCCACTGTTCGTTGGTACAGAGTGACCAAGAGTTGGCCGTCGATAGTATTCACCAGCGGTATTCCCTTTAGTCTATCTGTTCAAAATTCGGGACTGCTAACACAGATAGCTCTTAGGTAGTTTTGCACATAACCCGATAAACAAATACTTTTAGAAACAGGATTTACGTGCTTCAGGTTTAATTGTTTTTTTCAGCAAAATTTATCCGACTCTTAATTAAAATCAAATTTTAAACAATACTATGCAAACATAACTCCTCAGTCTTAACTAGTATATTGTGCAGTGTTTCGACCGCAGAAGGAAAAACAAGCTAGTTCGTGGCTGGAAAAAGTGATGTAACCCAGTTGATACGGTGCAAAGTTATTTATGTAATGAGGTTTTGTTATATTGGTTGATATATATATAGCCAGGGACTTAGAGTACTACTATAGAAACTTAATGTTTTCAGACCAGTGAGATAGTGAAAACAGAAGTTGCTGAATACAAATATTTTTGTGTAGTATTGTCTATGTACTAAAACACGCTATTGTCAGTTAGCTTTGTTGTTAAAGAAGCTCGGAGACCGCCAACTGGTTCGTGGAATGTATGAAAGAACATAACAGCGCTTATTAAGGCATGAAGAACGTCACTTAGAGAATCATAATTTCATTCAGCCAGAAGCCGATGCAAAACCAAACTGTTATACTACTTACATAAAATTAGATCTGTCTTTTTCTTGTTCATCCATAGGAATTCATTTCCAGCCTTACGGAAAATGTAATGAGAGAGCTTGGATGGGAGGATGTAGGAGGACATTTGGAGAGGTAAGTTCTTTGTTTATCAGAACCTTTCAAACTTCCTAGAACGCTATATATCTACAGTCTAGAATTTACACTTTACTAGTGATTTTAATCTGTAAGTTTCCTTTGACATTAAATGTTATCAATAATTATTATTCAGTGTTTATTTGACAAAACAGAATAAAATGTATTGAATATTTTTCAACGTTTATTTGACTACACAGAATAAAATCGACTGAATATTTTTCAACGTTTATTTGACTACACAGAATAAAATCGAATGAATATTTTTCAACGTTTATTTGACTACACAGAATAAAATCGATTGAATATTTTTCAACGTTTATTTGACTACACAGAATAAAATCGAATGAATATTTTTCAACGTTTATTTGACTACACAGAATAAAATCGACTGAAAAATTTTCAGCATTTATTTGACTACACAGAATAAAATAGATTGAATATTTTTCAACGTTTATTTGACTACACAGAATAAAATCGATTGAATATTTTTCAACGTTTATTTGACTACACAGAATAAAATCGATTGAATATTTTTCAACGTTTATTTGACTACACAGAATAAAATCGATTGAATATTTTTCAACATTTATTTGACTACACAGGATAAAATCGATTGAATATATTTCAAAGTATTTGACTACACAGAATAAAATTGACTGAATATTTTTCAACGTTTATTTGACTACATAGAATAAAATTTACTGAAAATTTTTCAACGTTTATTTGACTACATAGAATAAAATCGACTGAATATTTCTCTATTTTCATTTGACTGCACAGAATAAAATCGATTGAATATTTTTCCACTTTTATTTGACTACACAGAATAAAATCGATTAAATATTTTTCTAACTTTATTTGACTACACAGAATAAAATCGACTGAATATTTTTCAACGTTTATTTGACTACACAGAATAAAATCGAATGAATATTTTTCAACTTTTATTTGACTACACAGGATAAAATCGATGGAATATATTTCAAAGTATTTGACTACACAGAATAAAATTGACTGAATATTTTTCAACGTTTGTTTGACTACATAGAATAAAATATACTGAAACTTTTTCAACGTTTATTTGACTACACAGAATAAAATCGACTGAAAATTTTTCAATGTTTTATTGATTACACAGAATAAAATTGAATGGAAATTTTTCAACATTTATTTGACTACACAGCATAAAATCGATTGAATATTTTTCAACGTTTATTTGACTACACAGAACAAAATTGACTGAACGTTTTTCAACATTTATTTGACTACATAGAATAAAATCGACTGAATATTTCTCTATTTTCATTTGACTGCACAGAATAAAATCGATTGAATATTTTTCAAACTTTATTTGACTACACAGAATAAAATGACTGAATATTTTTCAACGTTTATTTGACTACACAGAATAAAATCGATTAAATATTTTTCAACGTTTATTTGACTACACAGAATAAAATCGAATGAATATTTTTCAAAGTTAAGAATGGTGGAATTCTTGGTTGCAGTTAAAGGGTTTCTTTAAATAGGTGCAAATTACTTATGTAAGTTACTTGACTGGCTAAACCAATTTCAAAATGCTTAAATAAAAGAAGTAGTTCGACCTTCCCTTCGTAGGTAAAATCTTCCTACGATTGGGACGTAAAATTTACTGTTGGTAAAATGGTAAAAGTTAAACTAATTTTATTACATTCACATATCTATTTTTAAATTTATAGGAAGCTCGCTCGCTGTAGTTATTTCTCTTTTTAGCTGCGGCATAGAAGCTCATAGAATGGCTCTGAGTTTTTTTTTTTTCCCAAGTACAAACTTTTATCTTATATCTCCATCCATTGACCGATTTGAGAACTAATTATAGCAGCGGCTATTTTGTTACTTTTTGCAGTACATTTTATGTGACTCTTTCTATTCATCTACTATATTAATGATCTGTAGAGCTATATGTATGGTAGGAGTATTAGATACAATAATCATACTGAACTTTTATAACCTATATGGGAACTGTGAATTTTAGTTATAAATTATTTATCAAAGATCGAAAACAGTATTTGGTATCCATTTTTTGTCGAGTTTTTTCTTTTTTTTAAATAATGCACTTATCTTGATCTTTAGACGAACAAGGATCTCTGTGATCAGTCTTGCTTGCTCAAGTGGAAACGAGTTGTGTTTAAGGCAAGCTGTAGAACGTCTGGAACAATGGAGAAAGGACCCTTTGTAAGCCAGTTGCTTTTGTTATCATTTTATTAGTTTTAAAAGTTCACTTTTAATTTTAGCTGCATTCACGTTTTGATTACTGATCCACCTTCTAATTAAGCTTAGGGAATAACATTAGATGTGATAGAAAAAACTTTAACATTTTCTATAATATATTTAGATTTCTTGTAGAAAAAAATATTTTGATTCTTCTCAACCTATAAACTTACAGCGTCAGCTTCTGGTAGGCCATGTTGAAAGCGCAATGTGCAAACGTGTCTGGTTTTATTTTGCGGAAACAAAATCACAACAAAAACGATATAGATGTTTCATCTACTTATAATATATGATATGCTATATACAAAATAAAGGATTAACCAATTCGACAAGTCTAGTTAATAAAAACAGTCATAAGTAAAGGTAGCCGAAATGTATTACTAAACCTTCTTTTATTTTTGTAGACAGAGCTGAATACATTTTTTTTGTGATTCGTGTGGACATCAGTAACATAATTCTGTAAACTCAATGCCATATCGACTGTTATTAACATATACCCATTAGTTAAATATAACCTTAAAACCAAAATGTTCGCAAAATACTTTTTACAGGGTACTTTACTATATGTTACAAAAATAAAGCTCTCACATTTTACCCACAAACACTGGCTCTCATGTTTTAAATCTGCTAACTAAACGTGCTACAGTTCCACATTTTCATTACTGTGAAGATTGATTACTACATTTTAAGTCTAAGCTAGTTTCTATGGAGACTGATTACTGTACTAATTATGTCAAAGTATAAATGTTACTTACTGCAAGCTGGTTGAAACTGATTGATTCAGTAATACCAAGCTGCAACTGGATATCATAATTGATTTACTTGAAAGATTCACAATCATTGTGATTTACATTGTTATTAATTCTTCGTGCAAAGAGAGGTAAAGACCTTTATAGTTAGCCTTTTGAGCTTGTTTTGTTCTTGCAGGATCTCGCGGTATTTCTTGCTCAACAATAATATTGTTAGTCTTGTTTGTTTCTTATTGATAAAAACCGAACTATTTTATTCAAAACTAAGTAGAAGAGTTATTTTTCTTGTTTAATTTATTTTATTGCAATTTGCATTGATAAATTTCTAATCAAACTAATCATAGCTAATTTTATCACTCAAAATACCTTTATTTTTATTTGAAATGCGCTTTTGTTAACTGGCTTTTATTTAGTTACTTAAGTTGAAGTTAGTGTTTCCTAGATTTTATTGTTATTCTTTTGTTCATTTTTTTATTATTTTAATTACATAAGTTAATCTGGTAATCTAAACCTTTATTTGAGAAAAGTTTATATGTGTGTTCCGCTTATAACTGACGTATTACTAGATCGATTGTCACCAAACCTGGCATGCACCTCTTAAAATCCCGTGGAGTGATATGGGGGTGGGGGGTCGGCGCTCGAACCTGGATTACCTATGTTACACCCCCGGGGCTCGTGTCGCTCGTTGAACGAGTACATCTACCTAATTTATACATGAGAGCAACACTGAGACGTTTGTACATTTTTCATTAATCACAAATTTCCTGACTCTACCCACATTTTCCTTCCGATTTTAGAACCCACAAGATCCCTTCAAACTTGAGATCTCTAGTCTATCGCTTTGGAATGAAATATGGAGGAACTGAAGAAACGTGGAACTTCATGTGGAAACAGTACACTCTGGAAACGTCTTCACAAGAGCAGAGAAAGTTACTTTACGGTCTCAGCTGCACAACAAATCATAAACTTCTTAAGAGGTGGGTAATCGTTACACAAGAATGTTTTCGTTTTTAACTTTAGTTTCTAAATATTAAGCATTTTAGTGTACATAGCACATAGTTTGATTTGGGACCAAAATCTGAAAAGGAATTTGATCCTGTTTTGATACGCGACGTTCACAGAAAGTTAACATTGTTTACTTTGAAGGATTAACTTTCATACTTAGTGTAAAACATGGTTTATTATTTAGCATGGGTTGGTTGTTTGGCGTCTATTTGCGCAAAGCAGCTAGGCTATCTACGCCAAACAACTGGTAAAAATCGTAGGGGTAAAATGTTTATAAAATGCTAAAATATATAGAGTTAAAACTAAACAATGTCCAAAATTCAGATCAAAACATGGGTTGTATTGGGTTGATGGTTTTATTGGTGCAAAGCAACATGGCTATCTTATTAACATAAAGCAGTCCGCTAGGCGAGGTAAATTAAATATTCTGAACTAGCAGAGACCCACAAAACATAGGCGGTCAAATTAGTGTCTTTACTGCAACAGTATATCTTTTTATACAGGATTTCTAGAATAGTGAGAAGAAATTCTAAACGCAGATACCGAAATCTATAAGTCCACTTGTCTCAAGCTTAACATTAGTTAAACCTTTATTAAGTACAGCCTGTATTCGATAAAGAGATAAACTGTAACTTGTGTACGTTTTTTGCATCAGCGTAGTTAGGACTAAACTTCACCGTACTTAATACTATCAAAAAATATATACTTATGTTATTCTACGACTTAACGTTAGACCTTTTTAAAAACTTTGATAAGCTTTTAATGTGTTGGGGATTTTATTACGGCAACTTCTGCAATAAATTTAAAAATAAAAGGAAGATTAACGTTTATAATGCACAATAAAATTTTATTTGGCTGACGGCCATAATTAAAAAGACTACATGTTTCGGTAGCTTTACGCTACCATCATCCTGCTCTTGTTTTTATTTTCATAACTTTTAATGTGTTGCTGTACAAAATGTCTACTAAAGTATATTTACATCCGTCCTAACGAAGTGCGCGTCTTTTTAGGACAGATAAAAACTGAGTATTATTATAATAGATAAAGCAAATAGATGTTAGTATTGTATTAACGTTTCCTTGCTAACACAAACTTTAATAAAGTGTTGGTTTTACGTTCAGTCTGGGCATAAGAAAAATAAATCTTAAGACAGACTGTGCAGTGAAAAATACGCTGAAAAGTTTATAAATTATCGTATATAATAGTTATTGTATACAACTTTGCAAGCGAACGCCCTGTTGTTTAAATGAAAATCCTAAATTGTTCGAACGGATTAAAATTGTTCATTAAATAAACCTGAAGAAAAGCGCTCGCGAAAAATGACTTGTAATATGAAGATATAAGAGAAATGTGGGTTTCATAATGCATTATGTATAATGTTTTTTATATATATTTTACAGGTTAATGGAGTATGGTAAAGATGAAAATAAAGTTCGTAGTCAAGACTTTTTTATGTTCTTAAATTTCATCGTTCAAAACCCTCTTGGTCGACCTATGGTATGGAAGTTTTATAGAGAAGAATGGAAGTATCTTGTAAACAGGTATGAATAGTTTGTTTTATACTAGACACCTTCCATGCTTAAATGATACACGATATCTGACCCAAAGTATTCAAAATCACAGTTAAGCATCACAAAAAAGCTAGTCAGTTAGGGAGAACTTTACTTACAGCTCCTTAGGTGAAGCTCAGATATTTCTATCAATAGTTTAATTTAAACATATGTCGGTCTAACGATTATATTGAATCTCCCATGAAATAATGAGACGTTTCTCCTATTTATTCAAAAGCGCAGTTAAGCAACACAAAAAAGCTAGTCAGTTAGGGACAACGTTACATACAGCTCCTTAGATGAAGCTCAGATATTTCTATCAATAGATTAAACCTCCCGTGAAATAATGATACGTTTCTTCTGTTTATGGATATGATATGACCTGATGGTTAGGGTGCTGTAATATGGATTTGAGGGTTCATGGTTCGCGTTACGTTACTATGAACAAAAACATTCGCTCCGTACTTTGAGGCCTTGGGTGCATTTTAAGAGTGACTTCAAATCTCATTATTCGACTAGAGTAGCCCAAGAGTTGGCGGTTTGTACTGTTGACCAGTTGTCTTCCCTATAGTTTATCAATTCAAAATGCATAGCGACTAACACATAAGTTTACTGTGTAGTTTTTGAGATATCCGAAACAAAATAAACCCCTGTTTAAACAATCTCGTAACTAGATAACTAGAATTTTTCTCAATTATAATAGTCTCATCAGTAAGAAACCAGGTCTTCTCCTGCTTACAATATCAACTGTAAGAAACGAGGTCTTCTCCTGGTTACGCTGATGTCATCGTTTATGAGCGTTTAAAATATTTTCATCAATACATAAACAGACTTTCTCTTACTTATAATATCTCAGCTATTGATAACTAAGTACCTCCTTAGTATTCTCTTTCTTAGAATAATCCAACCAGGCCTTCACCTACTTAAGATATTTACATCAATAAAAAAACTAGCTCTTCCACTGCTTACAATAATCCCATCAGTAGGTAACAAGGTCTTTTCCTGTCTACAATAATATAATAAACAGATAGTACATTCTTCTCATCTAATAGCAAACCGATGGTTTTTGTAATGCTATGTACACTGAGTGGT